CCAATATGGAAGCTGAATTATCTAAGTTGCCAAGAGATGAAGACCCAGAAGCTAAGTACACATTTGCGGCACCAGTGTGGAAACAGTACTTGATCGTCACTTGGAGAACAATTGTACAAAAATGGAGATTACCAGGGTACATTTATGCTAAGGTGTTTTTAGTAGTTTCATCCGCGCTTTTTAATGGCTTTTCATTCTTCAAGGCAGACAAGTCTTTACAGGGTTTACAAAACCAGATGTTTTCGGTGTTTATGTTCTTTGTCGTTTTCGCTACAATGGTTCATCAGTTACTACCTCAATACGTTGCTCAAAGAGATGTCTATGAGGTTAGAGAGGCGCCGTCGAGAACGTTCAACTGGTTCGCTTTTATCACTGCACAACTTTCTTCGGAAGTGCCCTTTCAAATTTTTGTTGGAACTATTGCCTTTTTCTGCTGGTATTATCCCGTTGGACTCTACGCCAATGCCGAACCTACAGATTCCGTTAATCAAAGGGGTGTTCTTATGTGGCTTTTCATCATTTGCTTTTACGTGTACACGAGCTTTATGGGAATATTGTGTATTTCATTTATTGAAATCGAGGACAATGCTGCAAATCTTAGTGTTATCTTGTTCACAATGTGTTTGACATTTTGTGGTGTCCTTAAAACTGGAGAAGAATTGCCACGATTTTGGATCTTTATGTATCGTGCTAACCCCATTACATACTTGGTCCAAGGTATGTTGGCTACTGGCTTGGCAAATACATCAGTTCATTGTAGTAATACTGAGTTGTTGATGATTATACCACCCGATGGAAAATCCTGCTCGGAGTATATGCAACCATACATGAGCAAAGCGGGTAGATATCTCGTACAAACAAATGGATGCCAATTCTGCAAACTAACCAGCACTAATCAATTCTTGCAATCAATTAATGCTATTTACAGTCAGAGGTGGAGAAATCTAGGACTTGTTATTGCATTTATCTTTATCAACGTGTTTTTGGCGGCATTTTTGTACTGGTTGGCCAGAGTTCCTAAAGGAGATAGAGAAAAGGAAAACAAAAAAAAGAAAAAGAGAGAGGGAAAGGAGAAGTAGTATTGCTACCACGTTTGGTATAGATTATAAATTTTTTTACTTAGACTAATAATTAATAAACAATTGGTTTTCATTGGCTTATAGAGAGTTCTTTGCGTCGTTATTGTGAATAAGAATAATGCTCGAGTAAACAACATATCGAGACACCACCGAATAATAGTCATCGCATGTATTGTGCCGTTTGCTATGTTTTGCAGTGCTACGGATGTAATTTCTTTATTCCCGTCTGATTTTGAACAGTCAAATAAGTATCAAGGCCTATTTAGGAAATTGTTCCGGAAGAAGATGACACAAAATTCCTCAAGTTAAAGTAGTACAGAATGCTATAGGCCCGAAGTTGTTAATGTTTATGGCATTACGAAAGGTTTGATGCCGTAGGACTAGATTTATGGAATGAAATAATATTGGTGTAAGGTAACTGGTCATGTCTCTGATGCTTCTAGGATATTAAATGCTGTATGGCTGGAGGGGTATGGATCAGGCGGTCATCGATAATGTAGCTGGTAGATCTGAGAAAAACGAAGAGTAGAATGAAAACAATTGTTGTTCCAAATGTTGTATTATGATTGTGTAAAGTCAGACTTCTTTGGCCTGTTGCTTCCATTTACTGTTAGGAGTGGGAGTTTCAGTCCTCAATGTGCTCCTGTTATTCGAATGGGACAATTGTCTACAGGCCCCTTTCTCAATTGTATCTTGCCGTAAAGGTTGAAAGGAATCAGTGGGATATTTCCTACTGAATACGCGCTTGTGCATTCATAGCTTTTGCTGACCGGTATAAGCTCTAAATATGCTATTTGTGAGAGTAATCTCACATGCCAAGAATACAATTTTGACACATGACTTCTCCCCCGTTTAAGCGTTTTATTACCACCAACAGAGATGCATGATTGTTTGTTGTTGCACTATTGACTCTTTAGCATTCTAATTTCTTTTTTTTTTTCTTTCGCCGTTTTTGCAAAAGCATAGATCACCTTTGTTTTGGATTTAAATATAGTCAGGTAAGTCCATGTTAGTCACACAAAAGTATGTCACATACGTTCGTCTTAGGCTCTTGAGGCTATTTGAGTGTTCCGGTTGCTTTGCCTATTGTTCAAATATTATCAAAGTGTCGCCAAGTCGTCAAAACAATAGACCTTCTCGCCTCTTATGGTAGACGCAGAATTATTTTAACAATTCTTTGTAAAAGATAGCCAAACCATACTTCTTCAAAAAAATTTTTATATCAGATGACACTTGAAAGTATATATTACCTGTCGAAGCCACTTGATAAAGTGACCTATTTATTTCAGAGAAAGCGTCCATAGCTTTTTTGTTATTATTTATTGTATGCCCTTTTTTCTATTCGCATATGTCTGATAAAGGAATACGCAAAAGAAATAAACCAACATTTGTTTGTACAAATTGCCGACGAAGGAAAATTAGATGTGATAGAAAGACACCATGTTCATCATGCGTCAAATTAAACATTGGGTATACTTGTGTCTATGACACTACATGGAAGGGCACAGTTGTAAATGATACGAATACAAATAATACCGGATCCCAAAGATTGTCAGTCACAATACAAGAATTGGAAGAAATGGAATATTTGAGAGCAAAAGTCAACGAATTGGAGAATATCCTTATTCAACGCGATAGGAACGATGAAAAGACTATTGTAGAAAATGTCAACAAGCCTTACATCCGTATTCAACCCATACCGCCTCCAGAGACATCTGTGTCTACCAATCCAGTTGTCAGTCCCCATGACACATTGAACTTCTACACTGGATATACCCCTTTGTATACAAAGAGCAATATCCGAAGGGTCAACTTTGGACCATTGTCCTGGGTCTCTTTGCTGAAACGAGACCCTGCTTTGTGTCTATCTTGGAGAGAAATCACCAATGGTGGTTCCTTCCCTTCCATCAATTTGACGCAATTGCCACTAACCCCAGAAAACATTGCAATTTTGAATACCTATATGACCACTTCAGAAGGTACTTCTGCCAATATGGACAAATTTTTTAAACGCAAGTACTTGGAAGTTGAAGGTTATGATGAAACAATGCCTTATAATTCGCTGGCAAGAATCGGTATGAAAACGCAAGACAAGGATAGCTTGAGCAATAAGAACAACGAAAGCCCCCTGAATAAACCAGCTGACTTTAGGATGTCATTCACCCTGATCAGTCTTGCTAGGACTATTTTTGAGGGAAAAATTAATCCCGAACTACAATTAATTCAAAAGATAAAGGCCATTATACCTAGTAGGAAGGTATTTTGGAATCTCATTGATTTATTTTTTGACAATGTTTACCCTTTTTTCCCATTTATCGATGAGTATTCTTTTAAAAAGGATTTGCAAAAAATATTTGGAAAAGTAGACTACGAAGACAAGCCTTTTTCCAAGGTCAATATTTGTAAAAAATTGGACTTGGCCATAGTTGCTCTTGGTTTTATTTGTTTGAGGATGACTTATTTGTCATTATACTCCAATCGTGACGCTGTTAATCGCAGGATTGTTGAATCACTGGACGTGACTACCACCAAATTCCTTTTCCAAAATCCCATCAATTCTTCAAGCATTGACGTGGCAAATTCTTGCATCCAATGTTTTCAATTTACAAGAAAGTCTAACCTCATTGTTTTCCAAGCGATTTTGTATATGAGGTTTTATAGAGAAATAGCTCCTGAAGAAAGTGATGGCATTGATGGTGGAGATTCTCAAGTTGGGACAGCTTTGATTATCCAAATGGCGTACTCGCTTGGGCTCAATCGTGAGCCTGATTTATTGGATGTTTGTAACGACGAAAAGACAAATCATTTGGGTCGTAAAATTTGGGCAGCATTAATTTCTGCTGACTTTGAGCACTGCTTGTCGATTGGGAATCCAATCAGTATTCATTCAAAGAATTACGACGTTGTTAGACCATTTTTGACAGATGGGAATAGCAATATTAGGGATGTTGACATGGAAGCAGCGGTAGTTGAGCTATTTAGCTTGATGGACCCTGAAAGAGAACTATTAAGGCGATTGCTAGGCTATGTATTGGACATGAGGGATGGGGTTGAAATGAACAAAATTACCAACGATCTCCACATTCTTGAAAAGGTAATGGATACACAATATAATGTTCTTCAGAAACATAGATTGAAAGATGAAATATTCAATTCCAGGCACACTCGGCCACGGGTGAGAAAGTTTTTATACTCTGAAAAGGCAAGAAAGTTTTTGGAAACTAAAGTGGCTATCACATCGTTTTACTATCATATATATTTGCATTACGAGAAGAAAATGGATACTGAACTTTCGTTCTTTTACTTGACAAAGATGTTGTTGATAGTTACTAATGACGTTATGCCATATGTCGAGGACATAGTGAATGGATACTTGAGCTCGGTGGGATTGTTCTTGAACCCCGTAGTCCAGCTCGGCTTGCTCAAAGCAAACCAGATTGTATTTTCTTGTTTTGCTCGCATTAATGCCATCATTCATCAAGCAGAAGCGTCGCGAAACCATGGCACTAAATTGACTGGTGATGAAAAATATCGTGATCATTTTAGCAAGTTGAAAGATTTGTCCGAGGATCTCAAGAATACAATAAAATTGGAGAGTCAATTGCTTGAAAGAATGGGGCTGCGATATTATTGTGCATGGCGAATTTCAAAGTCTCAGGTTACATTTCTCAAGGTGTTGACTGGGAATGAGTTTTATGACAAGCACTGCCAGCAATTGAAACGGATAAAGGGGTTCCAGTTTACAACCATCCAATTGGATGTATTTGCTTCTTTGGTTGGAGAGTTAAAGAGTGTATTGGTTAAAACCTTAAGTTTTGAAGATGCTGAAGACTTGACTACCCCTGAACTGGTGAAGTCAAAACAAGACGATGGACAAACTTCCCTATTCGAGCAACAACATCTCGTAGATCCAAATCAAGATCCAGATGCAGAAGCTCACCCCACTCCTTCAAGAACAGGTTTAACTCCACTTACCTATTTGACTGACGAGATGCCTTCTGGATTGGCCAACGAGAATTTCAATTACATTGATCATATGTGGTTACTGCATGCAGCAATGAAGCAAGACGGTGGCCAATCATTTGAAAATAACTTGATTTCAAACTTATTCCCCAATGAGGACCTAAGAAGTATGACAAGCAGCTCTGGTGCGGGAGCTCTTTACAACGATATTGGTGGTGCTAGCTCTACTGATTGGCCGATGGAACCTGTGGCATCGGACTCGCAGCTGCAAGAGCAACAGATGCACATGGATCTGAATTCTTCATCATCACAGCAACAGAGTCAGGGATTGATGCCACTTCCTTCACTATTTAGAAGCAATCGGGAACAAGAGCATGCTGAGCATGTGCTTGAAGATGAGTCTAAATTTTTTAACCACCCATTATAGTGATTTACTTGATGATTGTGTATTGAATGATGGCTGCAAGCAAAAGTACTAGATAGATGGAAAGAAAAATAGTGCCGAGTTACACGATCTAAAGGAACCCCGGAATTAGATCCTTATGTGAAGAATTCCTTCATCCGTCGAGGGGGGGGCAAGTTAGTCAGCATGTGAGTCTACAAGTTAGAGGAATACACTTACTTTGCAACCGAAGCAGTTATTTATATACACATTAAGTACTGAGTTTAGAGTAATGCAAGTTCACAATGACATGTGAATTCCCCTTTGCATAAAATCTCATTGCCAAAAGTATGTTTTAAACTTTGTAGACATACTCTTTCGTTTAAATGTGATTACACCTTTGTGAACCCTTGAGACAATACTGTACGGCAATGATTAAATGAGTACGTGCGTCAAGTATGCATAACTTCTGGTAAGCTTTGTAAGTTTCCAGCCGACCTGATATCTAAACTTTTTATGATAGTTAATCGAAACTGTGCCTCCCGGGACCCACCGGTATGACGTAATAAAGAATGCCTCCCAAAGTGAACATTCGTGGTGCAAACATGAGAAGTAAATCTACCTACCCTTTTGTTATAGGAGCTTTGTCATGGCATACTTACCCAACTGAACGACTAAAACGGGTGGTATTTAAACAGTTGGCGTTAGAAGTTTCCAACAAGGAAGGAGGGGCACATGCTGCTTCTGCGAAGTATTTGCACCAAGCCGTGTGCAAAAGTTTGCAACTTATAGCCGAGAATACTATCGGACTTAAGAATTCTTTTATAACCGATTCCCCAAATTAACTTTTGCTTTGTCTTCTCTTTTTTTTTTTTGTTCTGGATTTGAATCTAATTCCAGAAATAAATCCGGCATAGTCACACAAACACTTACATGGTCATATATGCACATAAAAAAGGCTCCTAACCGCTGTGTATAGGGCCTTCCCTTTCTATCACAATTCAAGCGAACAATTTACAGTGACCTACCCTTGCAGCAACTATAACACAGCTTGATTTCGACGTTGGATAAGTAAAGATCAAATGCTATATAAACAGCCTACATTACTTCACATTTGAGAATAAGAGCGTCATACACGAGAGTCTTCCAAATAATTCACTGAATCACGCCATGCCAGAAAACGGGGTACGTAAGAGAAATAAACCAACATTTGTGTGCACGAACTGCAAACGCAAGAAGATCAAGTGTGACAGAAAGACCCCATGTTCATCCTGCGTCAAATTGAATATTGGATATATGTGTGTTTACGACAATAGATGGACAGGAACGAGCAAGGAAAACAACAGGCACAAACTGCTGTCTCGCGGTTCATTGCCTACTCCCTTAGACCTGACAGAGGTGAATAATTTGAGAGCAAGAATTTCAGAGTTAGAAAACATTATTGTACAATACAATATGAAGAACGTTGATTCCGAAGAAGCTAAGGCCGAAATCGAAACCGAAGTCGAAACCGAAGTCGAAACACTGCCTGATACTGCCCACTTGAAGAGCCTGGACACGAGCTGCACGCGGGCACAACCTATACATCCTCCAGAGACTTCTGTGTCACCCAATCCAATAGTAAATCCTGAGGAGAAATTAAATTTTTACACAGGATATACGCCTATTCATATTAAAGGCAATATTCGAAGAGTCAACTTTGGGCCATTGTCATGGATTGCGTTGCTCAAACGGGACCCAGCATTATCTTTAGCTTGGAAGGATCTAAGCACCAAGGGATACTTCAGTTCTGTTAATTTGAGACAAATGCCACTAACGCCTGAGAACATTGTAATTTTGAATACGAATATGAGCACCTCCGAAGGTATGTCGCCTAATATGGATAAGTTCTTTCGGCGCAAATTTTTGGAAATTGAAGGCTACGATGAGACAATGCCCTACCACTCTCTAGCTCGAGTTGGAGCCAACAATGGTCAGAGCCGTGGCGATGCTCAAAAAGATATTGCAAACGCTTCAAATAAACACCAGGATTACAAAATGTCATTTACACTGATCAGTCTTGCCAGAACGGTATTTGAGGGGAAAATTAATCCAGAGCTACAATTAATTGAAAAGATAAAAACAATGTTGCCTTCGCGGAAGGTCTTTTGGAGTTTAATTGATTTGTTCTTCCACAATGTATACCCATTTTATCCATTCATTGACGAAGATGCCTTCAAGAAAGACTTGCAAAAGATTGTGGGTAAGGTAGACTACGAAGACAAGCCATTCTCCAAAGTCAATATTAGCAAGAAATTAGACTTGGCGATAATTGCGCTTTGCTTTATTTGTTTGAGGATGACTTATTTGTCACTATACTCGAACAGGGATTCCACCAATAGAAGCATTGTTGAATCAGAGGAAATGACATTGACAAAATTCCTCTTCCAAAATCCTATCAACTCATCCTGTGTTGATGTGGCCAATTCTTGTATCCATTGCTTCCATTTCACGAGAAAATCGAACCTTACTGTTTTCCAGGCAATTTTATTCATGAGATTTTATAGAAACATTGCTCCAGAAGAAGGTGACGGAATTGATGGTGGGGATTCACAAGTTGGTACAGCGTTGCTTGTTCAGATGGCCAATTCCTTAGGTCTCAATCGTGAACCCGACTTGTTGGATGTTTGTAACGATGAAAAGACAAATCACTTGGGCCGCAAAATTTGGTCGGCATTGCTTGCGGCTGATTTCATCCACTGTTTATCCGTTGGAAACCCGACTAGCATTCACCCGCAACATTATGATGTTTCAAAACCATTTTTGACATCCAAAAATAGCAATATACAAGACACCGAAATGGAATCGGTAATTACTGAAACTTTCGGAGTGGTAGATTCAGATAGAGATTTAGTGAGACACTTGCTCAGCTATGTCTTGGATATAAGAAGTGGGGTTGAAATGAATAAACTTACTCACAAGTTACACGTTACAGAGCAAGTATGGCAATCCCGGTTCAATGTAATGCAAAATCAACAGTTGAAGGATGAGATCGATAATTCGAAGCATACCAGACCAGATATAAGAAAGTTCATGTACATAAAAATTGCAAAGAAGTTTTTGATATTGAAGGTTTCCATAACTTCATTCTACTACCATATATATTTGCACTACGAGAAAATGAAAGACACGGAACTTTCATTCTTTTATTTGGTTAAAATGTTTTTGATCATTACGAACGACATCATGCCATATATTGAGGATATAATCACTGGCTACCTAAGTTCGGTTGGATTATTTTTGAACCCCATTCTTCAGCTTGGATTGCTCAAGTCAAATGAAGTTGTTTTTTCGTGCTTGGTTCGTGTTAATTTTGCAATTCACCAATTGCAAAAGTCTGAAAATCATGCTGCTAAATTGAAAGAACACCAGCAGTATCGTGATCATTTCAATATAATGAAAGACATGTCTAGAAATATTATTCAAACAAGTAAGTTGATTACCCTGTTGCTTGAAAGATTGGGACTGCGGTATTACTGTGCTTGGAGAATTTCAAAGTCACAGCTCACACTTTGCAACACGTTAACAGGAACAGAGTTCTACGAAAAACATGGTCAGAAATTGAAACGTATTAAAGGGTTTCAGTTTACCGCTGCACAATTGGAAAGATTCAACTTGTTAATCGGACAGTTGCAAGAGGCAGTGAAGAAAACATCGACATTTGAAGACGGCCAGAATACATCAACTCCGGACGTAGTCAATACCAATTTGGCTGATATACAGAAATCGTTAGGTGGAGCAAAGCGCGTAGTTTTCGAAGAGACTCCTGAATCGCATGTTAATGGATTAGACAGAGCAAGTTTGTTGAGCACCCCCAACTTTGTAAACGATGAAACATTTGCTGAGTTGACGAACATGAATATCAATTATATTGACCACATGTGGCTACAACATGCAGCAATGAGGAACGATGCTAGCCAGTTCTTAGAGAACAACTTGATTTCAAATTGGCCCAACAATGAAGAATTTCAAAGCCTGTCAATTAGTTCTGCTGGAAAGACGCAGAATGGGCTTAACAATAATAGCGGTGCTGACGGAGGTAATCTAACGGGGATTCCATCAACCCGAAGTAGTCAGCAACAAAGCCAGTCCATAGGTGGTCATAATCTACAGTCCCAGCCATATCCACAAGGTAATGGGCTAGTTCCACTTCCATCTTTATTTGATAGCATGCAAGAGCAAGAGTGCATTGATTACATGCTTGACGCTGGAGGAAAGTACACTTACGATTCGTTTTTTTAAGATAGATATGCATGAATGAGTCTTTTTTGTATATTGGCACAGACATATGGGTAATACACACTTAATTGCCGGATAGATGCACGTAGATAATTTATGGCACTCTTCTCCCCCCCCGTGATAAAGATGTACAACTGATTTCACATGCAACCACTTTCTTTTCGAAGACTCTGACCTGATACGATTCCAGACGATCATTTCTTTGCATATGAGAATACAATATCATCACCAAATTTTTCTTTCATGTCCTTTTCATCAACTGATTGCAAACATTCCATTGCCATTTCTTCATTCTCAAATTCAATAAACGACAAATGGCGTACACCAACAAATCGTGCCATTTCAAACCCGGTATAACTATGGAAATACTCATCAATTTTATCCTTGGTGACCGGTACGGTTGAACTGATATTTTGTAAAAGTAGTCTACGGTTCGGGGGCAAGGCTTTCCAACTTTCAATATCAATCTGAATTTGTTCCCTCGTTTTGCCTTTATCAACAGCCGTCTTATTCTGCTTGGTTTTAGACTTGGCTTTCGTTTGCGATTGTTTCTTCTTGATCTTGTATTCATCTTGTCGTACTTTTCTGACTTGTTTCAACTCTTCTTTATCTAGTAGTGCATCGCTATTCTGCTCGGCAAACGTGGCATTAATTCGCTTGCTGAACACCTCTTTGTTATTCAAATTTTCGATTGCTTTAGAAGCATCATAAATAGTGTGAAAGGTGATGAATGCTTGACCCTTGAGCTTGAGGGTTTTAGCGAGGGAGATGTTTGTTGGTTTGCACTGCTGAAGTAGAAGCCCTAGCTCTGACTTGACCTTGTTGATTGACACCTTGTCATTTATATTGTTGATGTATATCGTTTGTTTAGGCTCGGCTGACATTTTGGTTGTAATTGGGCTCATCCTTGATTATGTCTCAGATGTTCAACCATTTGTTTTCTAAAATGACAGTGACGCAAAATTTTACTTTCGCGACATCTTGGATTCCCCGACAAGGTTTAACTTTGGTTGCAAAAAGACTTTACTTTGTGAGGAGGATTCTTTTAGATGGCATGTAGTAGGTCTAATGAGAATAAATTTAGCCTTAGGGTGTTCAGCAGTCAAACACGTGTTTCTATTTACATAAACATTAGTGGTGATTGAACTTGTGCTTCAAAATTTTTAGCGCATTTACTGCAAACTTTTCAGAAAAGTAGTGTAATCAATTAAGTCCACATAACAGTAATTAAGCCACACATTTTCTCAACAAGGAGAAACTGAACAGAGCTTCTCCTAGTTAAACATCATTTCTTTTTCAAGACGGAAGGACATTTGAAGATGCGGTTTTGCTTTTCCGAGTTTCGGTTAACCCTATCCGAAACCTTTAATGCTCGGTTAGCGCGTCTGAATTCTGTGAATCAACCACCATGTTGTTGCAAATGTATGCCTATGCATTGTGTGTAAGCAGGTACTGCCTGTAGTATATTATATTTGTGTAAATTGGCGTAAATTATAAAATACCGTTTTGTTATGCGGCTTAATTTCAGCCAATAAACAACGTTTAATTTGTAAGCAGAGAGGCATTTTAAGTTTAATTTCTTTTTTTTTTATTTTAGTTCACATTCAAATTGCGTTTATTACGTAATCGGAACTTTTCTTAACATAGATGGATGCAAAAGAAGTTGGCGACGGTTACAATAGAAGGAAGTCTGGAACCACGGGGTGGGTAACTAAACACCGTTGAAGTAAGCCAGAACGTTCTTTGCAAGTTTGAACTTGACTTGGCTGATCTACAGCGGTATTGTCCACTACAACCGTATGTAAAGAGTCCTCATTGACAAAAGAGGAAATTCGTCACTGGATGGTAAGTTTGTGTCAAAGCTTCAGCTTGAAGATATTAGTAATACCTTCTCAGCTCAGATTCAAGCACACATATTTTACCAGCCATTGTATTGTCTACAAGTTACGGCAGTTTTTTTATTTTTGACTCCCTTCTTTTTGTGATGACGACGAAACTCCACTCTATTATTTTATTTTATTATTTTTCTTTTCAGTCAGAGACGCATATGCAAAAAAATAAATATGGAAATCAAAAATACAAAAGGAACAATACTCCGTTATAAAAAAACACCCCAAAAAAAAAGAGGAACATCTTCAAACTATTTCTTTTCAGTTTACTTTCTTCTCTTCATCATCATCATCATCATCATCATCATCTTTTCAAACCTTTTTCCTTTTAAATATCCACAGTCTACTACGAGAGCGTGCTATATATATAATCCAAAACAAACAATCCACCACTGCATACAAATTACGCCAGAACAATGTCTTTAGTCGCTTTGAAAAACGGTGTTGCCAATGTATTAAGCAAAAAAAACTCATCAGAAGAGGAGTTGGAAAGAGCAAACAGACTCTTGGACAATAATAGCTTGCCATACGGCTCAACAGATCAAAACAGCGACGGCAATGACAGAGCTGCCCAAATAGCAAGAGAAGAAGCAGTCATACACGCAGCAGCATCAATAGCATCCTCGTCAGCAAATAAAGAAGAGGAAGATGAAAACACTAGTTTTTTGACTAGTTTCTTTAACAGATTTGACCCTAGAGTCATGTCAGATATAATAATTGGTTTGAGTGATGGTTTAACGGTGCCGTTTGCTTTAACTGCCGGTTTGTCTTCTTTGGGAGACTCAAAATTGGTCATCACCGGTGGTATGGCTGAATTGGTGTCAGGGGCCATATCTATGGGTTTGGGTGGTTTCTTGGCTGCCAAATCGGAAAATGAATATTATCATTCTCAAGTTAAAAAGGAAAAATTGAGTTTCTTTAAAAAACCCGAAACTGTTAATCAAGATGCTGCAGAGATTATGTTTGAATTGGGTGCTAGCGAACAAACCATTATAAGCTTCTTGAAAGATTTGGATTCTAAACCTAAAAACTTGATTGATTTTATAATCCGATTTGGCAGGGGCTTGGAGGAACCAGCTGAAGGAAGAGAGTTCACATCAGCAGTAACAATAGGATCAGCATACTTTCTTGGTGGATTTGTGCCACTTTTACCTTATTTCTTCACCAATGTCGTCAAGACTGGTTTGTTAATTTCGGTAATTGTGATGTTGATAACTTTGTTTATATTTGGTTACATCAAAACCTCCATATCGTTGGGTGACGATTGTGGTACCCACAAAAAGGTCGCTGAGGGGTTCCAAATGGTTGCTGTTGGTTCAGTTGCTGCTGGTGCTGCTTGGGGACTTGTATACCTTATAGATAATTAAATCATAGCTTAATACGAGAACAAGCTGGTAATGTTATAGAGCGAGTCTTTTTGAGTATTGTCGTAAGTTGGTTTTCTCTGGGAGCCATTTGGGTTGGACACACAATACGCTGTGGGGAGTAGTGTTACACTAGCCACTCCTGGTATAGACTGTGCATCTCTTCCTTTGACAGTGGTCAGTAATATGAATGGTAGCTCCTCTAGAGGAGCTACCAATATCAAAGAATTAAACCAATGAATGTGAGAGAAAATCTGCTTAACAAAAAAAAAAATCAGGAAAACGACTCTGAAAAAAGTGCCTACAAACAGGACAGAAGATATCAAGTGGCTACAATCAGATACAAGTCCTTATATATATATATATAACCCCTTTGCATAACCAATCATGTTGAGAATAAGTAATAGAATAACGCCAAGAGCCCTCACATTTGTGCGTTACAACTACACATCAACTACACCTCCAACCACTCAAAAATCAACCCCAACCAAGACTTCAACATCATCACCTGAAGAAGAAGAATCATCAACTTCATTGGCTAGACCCGAATCGTCGCAATTAAACTTGAAGGACTTGCAAAACAATGTATATGCCAAGCCTGCACCTAATAGAGACACCACCTGGACCAGATCGCAACAAGCAAGAATAGATGTGATAAGTAAATATCCTTTCCGTTTCACGCAAAAGGATTTAGCTGATCAGCCAAGACCTTATGCTGCTATTGAATTAATTGCTAAGGAGCCTATTAAATATTTGAAACCAGAAGAAGGAAATATTGCCGTTTGCGATGGAAATAGAGGTAGCACTTTACAAGGACATCCTAAAATTTTCATCAACTTGGATAAACCTCAAGCTAGTACTTGTGGCTATTGTGGATTGAGATATGCCAAGGAGGAGTTTAGAGAAGAAATTGAAGCTAAAGGAGAGTTTTGAGTTGAGCTGGAGAGGTTATTTAGTCGTTTAATAAACATTATAAATCCTTTTGAATTTTGGGGAGCTAGATAATGCAGGTTTGTGCTTGCGTGAGATGCAATACTACCGGTTTGTCTAGCTTATATGTGTGTCTTATTTTCTGTCTTTGGTTACTTGAGCCATTCAACTTCTGTGTCACCACTCACTCTCCAAGTACCAATACACTACCAGCAAATTATCCTTTCAAAGGGAGAATAAAACGTCAGCTCTACTTAAATCTGAAACGATGTGCAAAAGGAGAGCTGCCCTGGCAATACCTTAAAGGTGTTTCATCCAACTTGTTTTGTCATGTTATTCAGCTCACAGGGATTGAACTTACAATTAGCAAAGTAACATGCAATCTCAGAGAGGAAGTTGACTTTCACTTTATGAGGATGCTCCTTCCCACCAGCATAGGTTTAGAAGTGTATTCGATGTTGACAGGAACAGTTGCAAAAAAAATAGTTTAGCTGGAACCATAAGGCAGCGCCTACAAAAACAACGCGTCTTTTTTTTGGCTCTGTTTCGGTGAATCAAGAACAAAGTTCAAAGGAAACATCGCCTTTTTCCATATTAGAGCCCACTATACATACATCAAAGACACAACTCACATCATGCAAGTAGACAAAGATAGTAAAGTCATAATCCTCCCTCGGTCAACTTCCACTTCATCTCTTAGAGAATATAAGATAGTAAATCTACCCATCACATCAGCATCATCATCAGCAGGTGCTACAAAATCTTATCTTATCCAGGACTCCAAAATATACGAACTAAATGTAATCAAAGGTGAAAACTCCAATATCAAATTGAAATCAGGAGATGCTGTAAAGTCCTTCATCTTTGAGCCGGTATCAAGAGAAACCGATGCTACAGATGCTACCACTGAGTCAAGTAGTGATGATGGAAATGTCACCAATGGCGCTGTGTTGCAATCGTGTCATACACTAATTGCATCCCCTTACAACTTCACTTACTTGTTAATTGCCATATTTGAAAAACATGGTGATAAATTTAGTCGATTTCATACCTTGGATGATATTAGAGATACTTTACTGAGCTTGGAGTCTGGTCAGGATTGGGTTTATGATGTACCTCGTAAAGTGTTTTTGAAAAGTTTGGCCAATGTTTGTAAATCTATAATTGAAAGTTGTGGTGGCGGAGGAGGAGAAGAAGAAGAGGACAAGATAAGTGAACAAGATTCAGACGATCGATTTTACAAATATTCGTCTACAAGGAGTACCGAATGGGTTAATTCAAAGATTGTTGCATTACATCAATGGATTCTACACCTGGATGGTGATAACCGACCACCAACAAATAGTTTAATGACCAAGATTAAGAAGGAACTACACGATCCAACGGTTACCAATGACCCATCAGCCAATCAAGACCAGCAACAGCAACAACATGAATTGATTAACGAAATGGCATTAATCTATGCAATTGACTACATATGCGACTCGTATATCGCCAACCTCAAACCAAAAATCATTTCGCAGTACAATTACAACTTCACGAAAGTCGATGGTTACTTAACCAGTTTGAAACAAAAGCAAAAGGATTTAGAAGCGATTGAAGCAAATATGAATGAGGTGATCACTACGACTGCAAATAGCAATAAATCGGCTTCAGCAGCAAAAAAGAATGGTAAAAAGAAGCCAGTCAAGAAAGTAGCTGTTGGAAAAGGAGCTCTTGATGGGTTTTTCAAAAAAGCATAACTGAATCGTACTCTTTCTCTCTTTATATACACATACACATTTAGATACTTATCAGCAAGAAGGAAGACTTTCGAACTATAGACACTTTTTATAACTCCGTTTCTTTTATTTTTTTGTTTCTACTTTACCTCCTTGTTCAAGTTTTTATAAATTGACAACCCTTGCGCCATAAAGCTAGAAATGTCCCCCACATTCGAAGGTATAACCACCGTATTTGATTCCTTGGCCAACTTACCAAACTGTTTGATGTACTCTTGAGCAACTTGCAAATTGACTGCTGATTCACCACCTGGTGTTTCTTTAATAGCTTGTGCAATCTTTTTTATACCTAGAGCAGTAGCATCAGCTTTCAACTTAATTTGTTCAGCTTCACCAATGGCCAAGTTAATTTGTTCTTGTTTATTGGCTTCTGATTGAAGAATAATACTTTGTTTTTCACCTTCACTTATATTAATCTTGCTTTGTCTGTTACCTTCCGATTCCAAAATTTCTGCTCGCTTACTACGCTCGGCACTAACTTGACGATGCATGGCTTCAATCACATTCTGGGGTGGATGGATATCTCTAATTTCATAACGTAAACATTCAACTCCCCAATTCATAGCTGCTTCATTAATGACTTTGTTGATGTTGGTGTTTAATTGCTGACGTTCTTTCAAGACGGCGTCCAATGTCAAGTTACCAATCTCCGATCTCATTGTCGTTTGTGCTAATTGACTAATGGCAAATTGGAAATCCTCAACGCCATAGCTGGCCTTGTATGGATCAACAACTTTCACGTAAAGTACCCCGTCTAACTCCAACGATACATTATCCGACGTGATAGCACTCTGGGTGGGGATTTCAATAGCTGATTCTTTTAATGATTGAACATAGGTGATTCTGTCCAATAATGGAATCAAAATGGCCAATCCTGGTGGTAATATACGATGAAATTTACCCATTCGTTCAACAATCCATGCTTGTTGCTGAGGAACAAATTTAATCACCGTGTTTGCTGGTAATGATTTGTTTTGGAAGAAATTGAGCGAGGCAGAAGTAGCTGATGGCGTAGGAGCCATCAATTGTGACACGGAGCTGAATCCTCGAAGAATGGTTGGTAGTTGTGGTGCGATTGAAGTTTGTTTAGTAATGGCATTTCGTGATTTTGGTAATATCAGACCCACTTGAGACCGCAATAAGGAGGATCTAGCTAGCATATTTGAGGTTACAGATATTCTAATGAAGAGGATTGTATTGGAGGCAAGGTTAATGTAGTGGAAAAAAACTTAAAATTAGAAGAAAAATTGGCCACTCAAATATTATTATTGTCGTGAAATATATAGACATGACACGACATTGAAGATACACTTTGCTTCTTCTCCTTCTTGTTCTCCTTTTTTTTTTCACTCCGTCATCGCTATAAAGGACCAACAAAGCCAATTCCATCAGCAAAAGTATATACACACACATTTCACAGACATATACAAACACAGCATCTAGTCCAATGTCACGTACGTCAGAGATAACCACCAACCAACGGAACTTCCTCCATCATGCATTGAAAAACCAATTACGATTGAACTCACCCACCAATAGATCCTTTTTTTCACATCGCCCCATATCCATCCGCTTATCACTGGAGGAATACGGATATGTCGAAGTGAGCTGGGGCCAGACCAAACTAAGCGTACGAGTCTCAGCCCAAATCGTCAAACCATATGCTGATCGCCCCTTTGAAGGCATCTTCACCATCAATAGTGAGATTTCACCCCAAGCCAGTTTGAAATTCGACACGACACGCGCCCAGCAACAAGATGAAATTTTGGTGTCGCGGATATTGGAAAAGGCGATACGTCGATCCAATGCTGTTGATTTGGAAAGTTTGTGTATTGTGGCGGGAGATAAAGTTTGGGAACTTGTTGTTGATTTGAATTTTTGGAATTATGATGGGAATTTAATTGATGTTGGATGTTTTGCTACGATGTTGGCTCTTTTACATTTTCGTAAACCTGATATTTCGATAAATGGTGATGCCATTGTTGTTCATGATGAAAGTGAGCGACAACCGGTTAGTCTAAGTGTTTTGCATATACCTATATGTCTAACATTTTCATTTTACAATTTGTCATCGCAAGAAATGAACATCAAGGGGGGAGGAGCATCAGCAGGAGGAAGAGATGATTCGGGTGTATATCATGAAGGAGATGAGAATGAAGATGAAATATGTTTATTTGACGCTGATGCATTGGAGGAAAGTTTAAGACAGGGGAGTTTAACCATAACATTGAACAAGAATCGAGAGATTATACAATTGAGTAAAAATGGTGGTGTTCCCATTGACGCTCAACAATTGTTGAATTTGTGTTTTGAGTCAGTGAAAATTGTCGATGAGTTGACCGAGTTGATCAAGGTTGAAATTAAACAACATGAAGAAATGAGATATAAGAAGGAAAATTTCAAGTTGTTGGAATCAAGTGCAAATAGATAAGAAAAAATGATTATAGATTAATTCATATTGTAAGACATGTGTCTTTGTTGCTTACCTCTTTACACTCGTCTTTGATTGTTATGTTTCGTTATGCTTTTAAATATTTATACAATATCATCATTATATTTCGTACCAACTTCACCAGCGTCATTAAATAAACCACCTCTTTTACTTGATTTAGTTAGTTTTCCATTATTTGTATAATCGTTAGAATCATCAGTGTCAACATCGGCTTCTGCGTCAGTATTCAAATCGGAATATGCTTGTAAATACTCAGCATCCGTTTCCAATTCATTAACAAATGTTGAATCATTACCCAGATCATCATCATTTTCACCTTCATTATTAAACTCACTCTTATCGGAGGAACTGATCTTCTTTAAAGTTTCGGTGACCTCTAATTTGTCTTTACATGATGTTGTCCTTGTTGTAACTGATGAAGGTGTTCTGTTGTTGTTTCTGCTGTTGACACCTTTCGGTACTTGAACTGGGTCATTGGTGATTACAATTGTTGTTGGATCATCGACCAATTTCTCAAGTATACCAATTTCAATTGGTATGTTGGAATCTTTTCTAGCACGACGTTTTATACTCGAGTTTTTGATAAAGTTTTTCAAACTGATGCCCTTTTGTGGTTTAACTTCACTCAATTGCGATTCTTCATCATCGTTACCAATAGGCGAGGTTGAAGATAAAAAACTGTAACCCTTGAAATGAGAACCAACAAACTTGTCCAAATTGAAAAAACGTAAAGCGCCAGTTATTAATGCAAAGATAAAATTTCCCACTTTAGTAGTGCATTTCTTAAAGAAATTGGAAATGATGAATGAATAGAAAAGATATTCAACTGCCAAAATTGCAAAGGCGATACAGAAACCACCAATGACTGCCAATATCAAATGGTTGGCTAAACTTTTAATGAAATTAGCATCACTTAAATGCCATGATGAACCAGGGGCAATGGCAAAGAATGAGTTTTGGTAACCTTTGTAGTTTTCTGGCATCAAAATCCTTACCTTACCTGCTTCCGGTATACCCCAACGTTTGTACTGCTTCCAAATAACTGACAAAAATAGTGGCCCTGTTGAAATCATAATAGTAATGTATGGGACTAACCAACTACGTTGGTATTTGCTTAATGATTCCATCGCCTTGAGGAAGAATGGGTGATTGGGTACACTACCCATGACATCATTGGAAATACCCGTCGGTATCGTTTTCCTAACAAATGCTGGCACTGTCAACAATGGATCCAAACGACGTTCACATCCGTCATCCAAATCAATGTAGATACCACCATAGTGATATAAGGCAAAGTACCGTATGGCATCAGCACGTTGGATATTATAAGGATAATTGTCCCACGTTTCTAAAAACCAAGGAAATTCCTCACTAATAAACTCTCGAGCCATTTCATCTGTCCACAAGATATATTGATAATCTTCGTGTAAATCGATGCATGCTTGTTGGCCTGGTTTCCAAATCTCGGGTATGTTTTCTGATTTATAGGTTTGGTGAATGATTTTCGGTATTAATGCAGGTTTATCTAATTTTTGTGAATTCAATTCGTAGTCAATCAACGCATCAGCAAAAGTGTCATCATGTAATAGCGTAATTAAATCAAATGATAGATATAGGAGGTATATTACAAGAATGAAATGTGCGTAAATGATGTATTTCAACTCTTTTCTCATGATGGAAGGGGGGCAATGGGGATTGTTAGCTTATAGTAGCAAAATGACCGGTTTAATTTAATATATGCAAAAAGAAAATAAATGACTTGATTGTGACTAGGCAGTAATAAGCAGATGAAGTAGTAGCTTAGTGTAGACCTAGTTGTAGGAGATAAAATTGGGATAGTGATTGTTTAAGGAAAAGAAAAAAATGTAACTGTTGTTGTTGTTGTGGCGGTGGTTACAGTTGGAATGATTTTCAATTCTCGTAATTGTGCAATGTATTATATCTTAATTTATTTTTTCTTTCTTTCTTTCCTTCTGCTCTTGCTTGTACTTGTGCTTGTGCTCGTTTATGCAGATTCCCTAGACTAAGATCTTGTGTGTAGTGTGTTAGATATAGTGTAAGCTGGATGTATTATGGAAGTAACAGTTGAGAATCGTAGTGGCTCTCTTCTATGACAATAAAGACTAGTGATGACCGCAAATGACTTTAGTTTCTGGTGGCTGAGTTACTTTGCGTGAAGATGCTTTATTTTTCTTTCCCTTTTTTCTTTTGCTGTCCGTGTTTACTTTGTAGCTTTTGATAGTGGTAAGGCACAAATTAGTAGATCTTGTCTAAATGTCAATTATACTACAACACTGGTTGATGGTTAGATGTATGCTAGCTCAGACAAAATTGGCAGCAAATGAATTGAAAATAAAAGATAGAAAAAATTAGCTTGGAGAAAGGGGTTGGAAAAAATGTTGCCAAATTGTATTTGCCCTGGGGTTTGGATCGACTTGCTTTCTTCTTATCCCAAAGGTGTGTGTATAAATGAAGTAGTTAAACTATGTATTTGCAGACTGAGAGCGGCTGTAGGGTTGTTAGTTGATGGCTGAAGCTCCCAAACGTTGTTGTTGTTGTTGTAATAGTGATGGTTGCCGTCTGTTGGTTATTTGGTCCGTCTGCCCTTTAATTTGGCTGTCAAATATTTTAAAAAATTGTTTAAACAATATATGTAAGAATATATATAAAAATTGTAATTGTTGATGAAAATCATTGAAGTTAAATATTCACCACCACAACAATAAGTAAACAAAAGAACTGCTTACACGCACAGGCAATGATGTAGAATCAAGAAAACTGCATATAAATGAAACACAATAAACGAAGAATAAAAATAAATAAACCCAAAATTATTCTGTTTATATGCAGTATATTAGCAGACAGGGAAAAAAAGAATAAATAAAAATATCCAAGGTATTAAAGAAGTCGTGTTTTAATTAAGTAATGATACATAAATCCATAAATAAATAAATTTATTTATTTATTTATTTGTGTATTCTTTATTTGTTTGCAAAGTGAAACAATAACAATAAATAGGAAGAAAACAATAGAGCGAAGCGAAATTGAAATTGAAATAAAATGAATGATTTAACTGTGCCCATGTCTAAAAGCCTAAAGAACCCCTAACCAATTTCATTTTTGATTTTGATGCTGTCCATTTGTACTAGCACGATTATATACGTAAACAAAGCACACAGAAAAGCGTCACGTAATCTCTCTTCTCTTGCGTCAAACAAGTCTCTCTCTCTCTCTCTTTCTCTCTGACTTTAATTTGAAAACAAGTAGATCTCCTTCTCTAATGCAATCTAAACAGCAAGATCTATATGTAAAAAAAAAACGTTAACTTTTGGTTTAGCTAAAAAACGTGCTATAATTGACATATATAAGTGACACTGATAAGCCAGTTGCTACTACTTGTATTGCCATTGCTGCCACTTGTTTGTTTGTTTGCATCAGATAAAACTAATAATAGCAGCTGTGGTATTTTTAGAAATAGTATTAATAGATAGCAGTAAAACTAATAATAAATATTCCTACAACGTCGTTATATGAAAGTTAAAGTTTTTTGATTAATTGTATTTTCCAGCCCCTTTTATTTTAGACCACTACAACCAATCAATAATTAGTGTAGACCCAACAGCGACACTGACAACGACAATGGCAATGGCATAAAAAGGAATTGGTGAGCGTAGGGTGGCTCAGCAACAGTTTGACTTTTTGTCCAAACAAGAGGCTTTTTACAACACAATTTATGCAAAGCACAGTCCAGTTTAGTAGTAAACAGTATCTTTACATCAAAGCAGTTACTGCCCTTTACAACGACAACTGCAAGTTAGTTACATCTAAACATCTCGTGAATGACATTGTCATACATACATTATGATATCACCAGCTTCTAATTTTTATACAAAACAAAACAAAACAAAATGTAATACTCCGGATTTAACAGAAGAAAAACGAAAAAAACAACAGTGAGACCTTGTTGTTTTTGTCTCACTTTTTCTCCAATACGAGAAACAGAAAAATAAAATAAAAAAAAGAAATTTAAATAAAAAAATAAAATTCAAGGCTGTGCTGTTTTTGATAAGGTTTGTGCAACAATGAACAAATATACACGACTAATACACCCACGATCTCAATATTCAATCTCCTCCTTATCTCCTCTCCACTCAATTCAAGAAACTGGGTTAAAAGCTGCCTATGACCCAAATAATTGGTTTGAAGTAATAATAGCAGCAGAACTACTAAGCAACCAATTGTTTCCACGAGCACAAATGGTTATATCTTCTGCGTTAGATAAAGGAGATAAGTAAAGAGCGAAAGTGGCCGGTTAGTATATAGGTAAGTGAAACACATATTATCTGAGTGGTTTTGAATTGGTCATTGGGGCACTGTGCATCATCTATAAATATCATCATTACTGCATCCGTAATACATATGTATATATGTACTTTGCCTCATCAAATTGCTTAAGATCCTTGGTTGTTTTTTTTTTTTCGCTGATCACTATTCATTCTAATGGGCTTTATACAAATATGACCTCTTTTACACCTGCCTATGTCATCCTTATCTTAAACAGTATGTCACATTTGCTTCTTATCTTTTCTTCTTTACCCTCCACTTGATGGTGAAGCTGCCAAGCACTCATCAACCTTCTCCGTATAATAAATACGTTGTTACCCCTATTTCACAATTTTTTATTCTTTTTTTTTATTTATTTATTTTAATATTTTGATGACACAAATATACTGCATATAAATACCAGAAGGGCATCAAATATAAAAAATTTCCCAAATTACACACCCTCTTCCCCACCCATTTCCTTTCTTATTCTTTCCAAACGCTAAACTCAGCATCTGTTTTACATATAAAACAAAATAGACAGAGAATGAGTGTCAAAAACAAATGAAACACACACACACACTAATAATGGTTTGTTTCTCTAGAGATGGTTACTTTTAACCATACGACTCTTTTTGTTCTTAAAGAGAGAAGATCCACGATGTATTAATCATTACAATTGTATTGCTTTGTTAACACAAAATACGACAACGATTTAACTGACACTGAGCTTTTAAATCACACAAATAGGCACACAATCTCAAAACTTGTAAGACAAAATCATTCGCAAACCAAAGCCAGCATCGCTCAAAATCAAAAGATAAACAAACAAAACAAGACAAAACTGAAGGGTTTACAACAGAACTTTAACCACACACCAAAGCCTTGTTTTTCAACGCGCTTGCAACCAAAATCTCCATTCACAACCACTAGTAACCCTTGATTTCTCTGTGCCTTTAAGATCTCTCACTTTTTTTTTGTCTTTTCTGCAAAGTCTATGTACCTTTCTCATTTTTAAAACCTAGTCAAACAACAGAGGAAACAGATACGGAGATGGTTCAGAAAAGATCATCTGTTTTGATTATTTTTTTAATCAATTGTGCTTCTAATGGGTAACAGAAATCGATTGACATACGACTTACGACTTACAACTTACAACGTACAACAACATCGCTTATTCTTTACGTTTGCTCCATGTTTACATTTCTATTATAATTGTAATTTTTTTCTCGCGTTTTCTTTTTCTTCATTCTCTTTGTGTACTACGTTTACGGAGTTAATCAATCAAACAATCAGAAGATATATTACAATCAACGGGTTTTTCGCGTAAGGAACCAACTTTTGATTTTGACATCCGATTCTTTTTATATAATATCCGAAACAAAACAAACATTGTTTGTTTACACGCAAGGCATACCTTTCTTTATCNCGTCCCCCGTCAGCCGAAAACAGGTCCTTGTTTCTACATCGTTCATCTTTACAAAATAGATAGAAATAGGATAAAAGTTACACAACCAAAACAAAGGAAACCCTTCTCTGTCCGATTTCACAACTTGCCGTTTTTCGCTGCCAATTCCAACAATTCACCACCACCCACAATCGTAACCTTCTCCT